ATGTCTGTGTCTGTCTGTCTGTCTGTCTGTCTGTCTGTCTCTCTCTCTCTCTCTCTCTCTCTCTCTCTCTCTCTCTCTCACACACACACACACACACACACACACACACACACACACACACACACAGAATAGCTTTCTTGTCCCAGAAAGACCATGAATATGTGGAGGTGGTTTGGTAGGATGAATGCACATTTCTTCTGATTACTTCTTTCAGTGACATTCTGTCCTAGAATTATTTACTCTTGCCTTAGTACATTGGTCTGTGTAGCGAATGCTTGTTCCCATGTGTTATTGTCTATACCCAGAAGGCAACCTGTCTGGGAGGTGGTATGGGCCATGTTACATGGGGGTACTCGCCACTGTGTCCACTGCCACACAGAGTCCGTTCCCCCAGGCGCCCCCAGGATCTTCAAGTCAGGTCTGAGCAGACTGGATGGAGTCATAGGTTTTCTTGGAGGCCTGAGAGATACATTTGGCTCCTATAGATCTTCTCTTTTGCATCCTATCCTCAGACTTCGTGTCTGTGGACTCTTCTGACCCAGGTTCTCCTCTCCACTCACAGTAGCACTGTGCACAGTTAACTCATGTTTCCCCTCTGAGGAAAGCAGTAGGGACAGAGGAGTCCATCACACAGGTGCCTACCAAGAGACCACTGCTCAGTTTCACAGCTGCTCAAGACTTGGTTCAGGAGCCAATGTCTGAGCTCCCCAAGTCCGTTGGAGCTGGACAGCAGCCAGGCTGCAATTCTGTGACCCTTGGTTCACAGGTGGAGATACTCAATGGAGCCTGGGCTGCTTCTCACTGAGTGCCTGCTCCTGAGCACACCGATTCAATCCCAGATTCCAAAGCCCACAGTCCTGTCCAGGGAGACACCCAAGCCCAGGAACTCCAGGACCAGAACCTGATCCAGAGGGAGGAGGCTCTGGCCCCCTTCTTGATTATGTGAACAGGTCCTATTGCTTCTAGGAGAGAAAGAGTTCAGGTGAAGGCTACGTAGACTGCTTCCCACCAGAGTCTGTTATGTGAAGTGCTGCAATCTGACCTCTTAAGAAATTAGATTATTTGAAATATGTTTAACTTCATTAGTGTTTATTTCCAACAACCAAGTGGGTTTTTCTGTAGTGAAATCTAGCTGCAGGTGCCATGGAATATTTTTCAGTACAAAAAGGAATACCTAATTGTTAAGTTCTGCATTCCCCATTGTTTCTCCTATTTATGCCTGTCAAGACATCATTAACTGGAGAACTCAAATTTTATTTGACCTTAAAATTTTGTAAGACCTTATTTTGCATATTATACACTAGGACCTTATGTTTCCTTTCCAAGATTACAGGAAAATTGTATATGGCAAAAAATATTGACCATTTTCATGTATGTATTCTCTGATATTTCCAAACCTAAAGGAAGTTAGGTAATTAGGTAATTATTTGGCAGCAGAGAACACTTGATTTTTTCTTGGCAACTGGAGTAATTTTTTTTGTTTTTTTGTCCACCCTGTTCCCCATTTACCATAGAATAGTAAATTACCCCAAAGTATGCAGTGAGCACCAGCAGAATTAAGAGCAGGTCTTTCCACCAAATCCCTCCTACCCTGTACCTGGTCAGGCCATTCACTGAGCCTGGTCCTGTCCACTGAAGAGCTGGTTGTCCCCTCACAGCTTTTCCTGCGGGCAAGGGATAGCATTTCTTGCTCATCTCCAGTGTCACAGTTTAGGGTGGCTCACAGAGTCCCAGTACATAAGTGCACTTTCTCCTTGAAGCTTTGTATTTTCCTAGTGAGGCCCACAGAATAGGGGCAGCTGGCATGATGCCACTTTTCTTGGGTTTTTTTGTTTTTCTTTTTTATATATTTCACACAGGGACTCACTATGCAGCTCAGACTCATAGTGCTCTTCCTGTCTCAGCCTCCCCAGTGCTGGGATTACAGGCATGCACCACCACGCTCAGACTCTGTGGCCAGCTCAGCATACCCAAGGGGCAGGGCTGGCACAACATGTGGTGCCGGGATTGAACCTCAGTCCCTGTGCTTCCCTAAGCAGGCACTTAGTCCACTGAGCTATCTCCCCAGCCATTTTCTCATTCCTGAGGGCTATTACTAGCAAAAATTTCAAAGAAAAAGGGGAAAAACGTCTGGCAAAATCGCAGTTTCTTCATTACCATCTCAGACTAAGAGAACATTGCAGGAGGGTGCTAGGCAGAAAGGAGACCCCGAGGACACGACGCAGACTAGAGCGTACTTGCGTGGCCTGGCTTTGGCCAGGGGGCCGTGGCGGGGAGGCACGGGCGTCTGCTGGGGTCTTACCCACTCTTCCCTCAGCTGGACAAGGGGAGAGGGTTCAGATGCTGCTCTTTGCCACCATCTCCAGGGAGCACATGTACAACTTGGTAGTATGAGCTGCTTACATTCCTCTAGTATTTAGGGCACTGCCTAAATCAAATCACTCTCTTTCCATTTTCCATGTCAGAAACGAGCTTTACTTGAGGCCCTGCTGCAAAGACAGTTCTGTGCAGGGCCTGGGGAGATTCATCCTTCTCCTCTTTTACTCTGGAACATAACAGACATGCTGCTCCCCTGAGGGGAGATGCAGCCCATTTGGTGAAGCAGAATATAAATTCCCTGTGTCAAATTATATATGCACATGTAATCCACAAATGTAAGATACACTGTGCCAAAGGAAGATATTAAGTGCTCAATGGGGGAAGCACTATTTAAAGCAAGCACTATTTTGAATTAGGAAGGTTAATGTACCTATTTGAAGCCAAAATACCAATAAGACAAATTGGATTTCAGTATTTGTACAAGCTGAAGATATGCAGAGAACCTGAATAATTTATTCATATGCTCCCTAAGAACTCTGTCCTAAAACCTGTTCAGGAAAAAAAAATTAAATTGTCTCTTTTGCCACAACAATAATAAATTCTTAACTGAAGAGCTACAAAAGCTCTAAGTTAATTAAGATAGTGATCTAAAAGCAAGTAGCCAGGCTCTAGACAGCCCCAGCTAGGATGTACCTGCCTCACTGATACAGCACCTTGCGCCAAGCACGCAGTTACATGGTATTTCTGGTAAACAGAAATCACCGCCTTTCCAGCAGAAAGATTCTTGTATGTTCAGTGTTTCTACTGTGAACATGTCAGAGTTTGATGACTGATCTTGTTACCACTATAGGCAAGAAGCCCTGTGCATTTTTTCCCTCCACAATTACCTCTGTGATTTGTAAAATCAAGCATTTCACCGCTTTCATTTTTCTTGGTATAATTCAAGCCTGCATATAGAGCAGCTTGCATTAGATTTGGGGTTTCTAAAGTGTGTTCTTAATTTAAAGTAATGTGGTTAATGTTCCTATTATTTATTTCTATCACAAGGCATATAGTCTGGGCATTGCTAATAATTATCCTGTCCTTCTTGGTGAATGAATCGGTTTCAGCTGTGTGCTGTTTTACCCTTTGTTTCTCTTCATGGATTTTTCTGAAAGACAGTTGCCTGGTGGGGATTTTAAGTTGGAGGACCTACAGTGTGTGCTATTACTGCTGCTCTCGAGAATGAGAGTGCTCGCACATCTCCACTCTGACTCCAGCAGTCAGCAGGGTGAGAAGGACACACAGCCACTCACCTGTTTCTGTTTCCTGCCTGGGAAAGCTTTATTTATTGACTACCTTAGTTATCTGATGAAGGTACACACAGTGTCATTAGTTAACCTTGCAGTTCATAATAGTGTAACTAAATTCAAAAGTCCTTTACAGTAGACAGGGCCTTAATTAAGAGTATACCTCCCTTGCTATGTCCTAGTAGTGAAAAGGTAGCCCATGTAAAGCCTGTGCTACATGTATTTTAACCAAAGGTGCTAGTTGTCTCCCTGGGGTTCTTCATGCCTTGTCTTCTAAAATATTTAATAGGTGGTTAGTTTTAATAGACCTAAAATGTAAAGATAGTTTGATGGGTTAGTTTAAAAGTATTTTC